AGTGGCAGCAGAGCTATTTTTAAGCCCGCCTGGGGTGACAGCAGCATCTGCCTCTCTGGTCTGTTTCTGTTGTCTGATGCTGCCTGGGGTTTTCATTTGCGCTTCATTACTTCTGTCTGCAAAAGTGCCTGTAGATATAATCTGATATCCTCCTCCTCCCAAGGATTGGCACTTGTTCCCACCAGGCTGCTGGGGACACCAGCAGTCTCAGCCATGCGGGCCAGCCTATTATCAGCAACCGAGACAATACAAGTTAGCTAAGCGGTTGGCTGCCCTGACAGCCAGGTGGACCCTACCAGAACCCACCCAAAGAAAAGGGGCCCATTGGTGCCTGCAAGTTTTGCTCTCTGGTCTCAATGCTTGTCCAACTAGCTGTAAGGGTGGTGAGGCCAAGCACATTCCACCAAGGCCTGATAGGCCACCCAGCCTGAAAGAAAAGTGCCCCCAATCACCCCCAATTCCTCATCTGAGCCTCCCTTTCTTCAGTACTTCGAATGTCCCTTCAGGGCTCTACTATCACCATGGTACTCCCTGTGCCCTGTCCCTTCTTTGGACTGGCTGGGTCTTTTTCCTGTTTTCTCCACCCTATTAGTTTCAAAGTAACACTCTCATATCGTAGTGACGGCTCCAATGACTAAGGAATGTCCCATCGTGTGTGTCCTGTTCAGACTTCCTCATATTGCCTGTGTCCTGTGCTGTTTGGACAAAAGACACAGGTATCTTCCCGGCCACCACTTTGTCATCCTGCCCACTAGGGCGCCACTTTGCTCTTCCCATGTCTGCCATCCCGCTCCTTCTGTCCCAGGAGCCCCTGTGGCGCAGAGCTGCTAGTGAACAGCTTCTGCCCCGAGTGTCTAGTGAGCACACCAGAACAGGACGTGGCAGCACTGTCGGGTCGTCTCATCTGTGGAGTTCCTCCCACCGGCAATGGCCGCAGTTCATAAGGCAGATGAGGCAAAGCGCCTCAGTCCACACTACATGTGGCGTTACCTGCTCCTCCTCTCTGCCCAGGTCTCCTAGGGGGCAGTGTAGTGCTGTCTGTCTGCAGGTAGTCACAGGCTAGGGACGGATCATCCCTGTGCCAGCAGAGCTCTGGGATCTGGCCATGCACCTGTGCTCCCCAGAAATCACCAGTTCACCCTCTACGGAGACTGAACAAGCCATCTGTTCCCACTCTTCCCTCTGCAGACTTATAAACTATAGAGGTTTAAAAAGTATCTCGGTGCAGTGAGGCCGATCCTCTTTATGTTTATTAGACACACAGAGATCTGGTGGATATGTTTCAGTCTTTTGTGTTTTTGTTATTTTGGCAGGACAGACTCTCAGCAGTAAATGACAGTCTCACTGTCTCTCAGTAAGGCCAGGCCTCCTCTGCCCCTCAGGTCCTCTTGAATCCTGGAGCTGTTTTTATCACTCACAGACTCTTGGAAGATTGGCTGAGTCTCATGCGTCCTAAGGAAGTGGAGCCAGTCTCTCCTAGGTCCTGGATAGCCTTGAGCGGTTTTGTTGTTTTAAAGACAGGGTCTCCTGTGGGTGAGGATGATGTAGAGCTCCCGTTCCTGCTGCTCCCATCTCCCAAGTGTTGGAATTACAGGCTTGTGCCATTGTGTGCACCTAAGCAGTGTCATCTGGTGTGAGCTCAGCGTTGCCAGCTTTTCCTTTACTCCAGACTTTTATATCCAGCAAATCACCTTTGACCAAGCCAAGGTCAGAGTTCACCACCTAGTATACGACACTCCTCACATTTGGCTTGTGAAATTCCAGCTGCCACCAGCTTCATTGTGGAACTTGTGTCCCTTGTCCCAGCAGCCTCATGTCCTCATTGTGAGTCTCTGCCTCAGGTTTCATATTATGCCACACTATCTGCTGCTGGGCCACACACAGGTCCATCCAGACAGACTGTCGTTCTTTGTGTATGTGTGTGTGCCTGTCATGGGAATGAGGGTGTGTGGAGAGTTGTCAACCACAGAGCCATCTCTCTAGACATCTCTCTAGTCGGCTGCCACAGAAGCTCCTGCTTGGCTTCTGCCTGGACCGTCCCTTGCTGCACCATTCAGAGAACTCACCCCTTCATGAATGAAGCTTTGATTCCTGAGCAGCCCGCCCTGGGTTTCCCTAGTTCAGTAACTTCTACCTCAGCTTCTCTGTTGAGATTGATTTCTGTGGGTTGAAGCTTTAGGAGTCTATAATAAACAGCACCTGCGCTATTTCTGTATGAGATGCGAGTTGATTTCTAAGTGGCCTGTGGCTAGCACCCAGGAAAAGCCCACTCACAGCTTTCTTGGTCAGCTCTGTGATGTCTGTCAGGTGTACACATCCAAGGTATCTATAGACAGAGGAGTTTCATGTCTGGCTTTCTAATCTCATCTGACTATTCAGTGCTAACCAATCCTTGCCGTTATGCCAAGTAACCAAGGTTTCAGGCATCCTTATCTGCCAATTGTCAAAGAAGCTTTCCAAATCCAAGTTCAGGGTATATGTGTCCCAGGTTTCTTATAGATGCCTTTGATCAGATCAACTGCAACTTTCCTGAAAGTCCCCTTAACCATAAATGAGTGAATTTTACATAGCATTTTTCTGCTTAAGATAACCAGATGGTTGTATTACCATAGTAAGTCACAATGACTTTCAAAACATTATATCAAGCATGCACACACGAACCCAACTCAATTTGGGGTGTGGTGACACATCACTTGATGTCACTAAGCACAGCCTGTACATGCTTTGGGGTAGCTCAGATACTCACAAGCAACGTTTTTTTTCTTCTTCTTCCTTCCTCCTTCTCTTCTACCTCACCCCAGTCTGGTATCAAAGTCTTAGATGTCATCCCATCTGCCTTTTCCCAATCCATCGATACAGTTCCGGGACAGCCTCATCTTCCAGTGCCTGAGGGGTCTGTGGAGACCCCTACCCCAGAGATAACTAGTGTCTATCATCCTTCTTGACTGGTTGTACCAGTTTATCAGCTGCTTGAACATTTCTGTAAATAGAATCCTCCAAGTGTAATCTTCCCATAGCACCAACATTGGTTTTCTCATCTGAATCTAGATTTAGTTCTCCATGCCTAGTTTGTCTTTAGACTTTTCTCAGCAGGCCTGATATATTCCACATGTTTTGACATCTCAGTCATTCAATGAAGACTGTCTTCTTGAGTCCATCTTTATTTATTTGACCTATGGGTGTTTTTTTCCTCATTAAAATTTACCTTAGTTCCATCTGGCCAGAGAACACACACCACTCAGAGCCTGTGACAGGCTGAGTTCTTTAGCAACGTTCCAGAGAACACGTAAAAAACACACCTTTCTCAAGCTGCAGGCTGATGCGCTACACGGGACAAGGCCAGGGCTATCAGCCGCTTGAGCACGCGTTCTAGTCTTTACAGATTGTTTCTATGTGGTCCTCAGATTCTGAAGGCTCAAAACTGCACACCACTCCCATTCTTTCTTCAAGGTGGTCCAAGTGCTTTAAAATAATTCATTTATCCTCTTGCTTGTCCCGAGGTAGTCAGGTTTTCCACTATTTGATTTCTTTACTCTCAAAGAGTCCATTTTATATAGACCACTTCAGATCTGTTTCTATCCCATGTGGTCCAGTGGTCTCTCACTGCGAACCTCCATCAGGGTCCATCTCTCTAGTCTTGAAAATCCCCTAGAACCGTTCTCTCAGGGGGCATCTCCAGGACAGGGCCTCAATTTTCATGTTTTTGCCAAATGTAATCTATTTATCAAAAATAATCTTGAGATCTAATGAACACCAAACGTTTCACCTTTTTGAGTGACCTGGTGTACAGGACAAGAATAACTGTTATCCACACCAGACCATTTTCCCCACCCCCACGAAGACACTCTATCCCCTGTGTGTAACTCCCACCATCCCTCTCTTCAGATCCTGAAACTTTGTTTCTCTCAATCTGTCCATTCATCTAATCTTCCAGAAGTAGTTTTTTACCCCTGGTTTCTTTCACTCACTAATGTTTTCAAGTTGATCATGCCATGGTGTGAGCCAGAGTGTCAATCCTGTGGCAGCTGAATAATCCTCTGTATCCAGAGGCATGCCTTTGCTCACCTGTTCATGTGCTGGACCTTTGGGCTGTTTCCACTTCAGGTTGCTATGAACGGGGCTGTTGTGAATGTGCACACACAGGTGTATATATGAAAACAGAGGGTATTCCTGAGATTATAATTATGGGGTCATATGGTACATTGTCACTAGCTTTCAGAACACGTTTTCTGGAGACCTGATTCTGTCGAAAGTAATTACCTCCCTGCACTCCAGTTTCAAGGATTCGTTCTTATGGTGGGTGCTTTCCTTTCTGGATCCTTCTGGAATCATTCTTCTGTCCTCCATTCTTGCCTGGGATCCTGCCCAGACGTATTATATAGGCTTGTAACCCCCAGCCTCCAGGTCTTTCCCTATTTTCCCTACTCAGGGCCATCTTCAGCAGTGGCCAGTCTCCTATGAGGAGAGTCACAAACCATGTCAAATTGTCTATTCCAGAGAGCTGCTCTCCTCTGCTATCTCAGCATGATTAACCAACCCAAGAATTCAGAATGTGGTGGTGTGAGACGGAGGCATGATAATTTGGGGCAGAAACTTCGAAGTCTTCCTAGGAAAGGTCTTGAGCATGGCATTATCAGTCAGTAAGGACAACTTTACTGGCATTTCATAAGCCACTGATGTGACTATTGAACCTGTTTCTCTGCAGAGGCATGGCCTTTTCCACAGGGCAATCTCCAAGGACCCCTGGGGCTGCACCTTATGGAGCCTAAGCATTCAGAAGAGGATGGGCTGGAGTGTTCTTGCCTTTGAGAGCTCCACCATGATGAAATGGGAGTCAGCTGCCCCAAGGGTGACCCATAGCTCCTGCTGCCCAGCATCAAGGGCTAGAGCAGGGATTCCCTGGTGGCATGGACCTAGGAGTGAGTGTGCTTCTCGGCACCCATGCTGGGAATGGGCGCCCTGGGGAAGTCCTCTCATGGTGCAACAACACTGAGCCTCTGTGGCCATAAATACACTTTATTTCATTAGAAATGCATAATTACACTGTGGAGCACTCCCTACCCCAGCAGCGGGTCCGCAGTGCTCCAGCATCATCAGCTGGCTCCACACCTACGTCAGGACCCTCAAGAGAGCACACGGCCAAGGCTTCTGCTACTCCACAGTTGTGTTTCTGTTGTGTGTGGGTTTTTTTTTTTCCATTTTCTTTTTTGTTATAAACACCATAGCAAATTAAAAAAAGCTGTTAAACAAAATATCGTAGTTCTTGTTTTTCTGAATGTACTCAACACGCTCTGCACTATGCTTCTCCGGAGACCAGCAGTGGGACTCAATCCTGAGGTGCCTTCCAGCAGGGGATGGCCAGGACCCTTCCCCAGGAGGAGGAGCTCTCATGTGCCCTGCAGAATCCACAGTTGCCCTGCTGAAGCAGGAGCGCAGGGCACAGGGCAGGGTCAGTGAGCAGCTGTGGTGTGGCACTCCTACAGTGCTTAATCTCACTGGATCTGGATGGCTCCGTGTTCAAGCTGCATTTCCGGCTGCAGAGTGGGCTGCAATGCCTCAGCCGTCTGCAAGGTGGAGGAGAAAAGAGAGCTGTTCTAGAAAAACACAGCAGCACGTTTGTGTCAGCAAGCCACCTGTGTGTTACACAGAGCCACGACTTTCCCACACACGGAGAAAACACACGCCAGCCTCGGAAGCTCAGTGTGTACCAGGCTACCCCTGCCTGGATGGGAAACAAGCAGACCTCACACTTGCCCAGGAGAACTTGGGCTACTGGGGCCAGACCGCTGCCAGTTCTCCATCCTCACTCGAGGCATCCTGAGAAACAATGCAGATTAGCCATGCCATGTTCTTAACCTGAAATATTTGCTTAGAATCTCAGGGTCATGCTGACTTCCTACAGAAACTGTCCAATGTTTTAAAGTGGCATCTTGAGACAGCTTAAGACACGGCGCCTGTCAGTGATGTACTTCAGAAAGAGTATGCAGTCACTGTTTCAAGGTGTGAACTTGCAACCTTGGAATGAGTCACCAATCTTGCATCTCAGCTGTACTGCAGGGGCACCAAAGGATAAGTTGCCCGGGCTTTGGTGCCGAGTCAGGAACAGGGCCTGCACCACATGAGGCAGAAGACTCATAGCCACATCCCCACAGCACTGGCACCTGACAGCTCTTAACGTACATCTAAGTCTCTGCTCTTTAAAGACAAAAAACTTGACATACTGTCTCCTTTAAGAAAGGAGGAGAGGAGCTGGGCGTAGTGGCACACACCTTTAGTTCCTGTATCTGGGAGGCAGAAGCAGGCAGATCTCTGTGAGTTCAAGGCCAGCCTGGTCTACACAGTGAGTTCCAGGACAGTCAGAGCTACATAGTGAGACTGTGTGTGTGTGTGTGCGCGCGCGCGCGCGCATGTGTAGGGGGGTGGGGGAGGTGTTGGTGGTGGCTTGTTTCCTCTCTCCCCAGTGGGGATGGCATGGCTGAGGCTGTGTTCAACTCATTTACAAAAAGAAAAAGAAGGGAAGAGAAGAAGAGGATTACCGTTCAGTTGGAAGGTGTAGCCTGCAGGTGCTTTCTATGAAGCTTTGTGCTCAGCAGGCAGGAAAGCGACCCTACAGCTTTATCAAAAGTCTACAAAAGTGAGATCGAGTGGGCAGCTGTGTGGCAGGCTTTGAAGGGAGCAACCTCTTGCAGCTTGACAGGGATTATGGCTGAGTCCTGCAGATTGGAAGGCCTTCACCTTAGCCCAAGTTCCTTCCCTGAGGACCTGGAAGAGTCATTCCTAGTCTTCAGGGAAGAGATCTCACAGTACCCTCTCCTTGGACACCTGGCCTGGCAGCTCCATAAGCCCTCCCAATTCCTGAGGCAGACAGGCCTCAGCAACTTCTGGAGAAGTAAAACCATGACCAGCCGAGGGCCAAGGCCTGGTTCTCAGGCTCAGGAGACCAGAAACTTCTGAGAGAAGCTGCACTGCTCAGGCCCACAGCACACCAAGGAAGGAGCTCCTGCCGGAGCCAGCTAGAGGCATGCAGAGGGGGGGAGGAGACTTGTCCACATGATGCAGACTCAAACTGTCTTGGTCTTCTGCCTCCTTACCATGGTCACCTACCCTGGTTGGGCTGAGATCACACGAGCTCACAGCTTCTGCCCTGTGACCTTCAACAGGACGGGCAATGAGTTCTCAGGAAACAGAGGCCCTGACTCTGGGCACCTCCAGGAGCGACTCTCAGGAGAGGGGGGCAGGGCAGAGCTTTGGTCTAGTTTTAGATCTAGATAAACATTTCCAGACAGGTTCTCAAGTACAGCTCACACTGCAAACTGCCAGAACTGCCTTCACACCATGATTTCCGGAGTGAGGAGCTAACAGAAGAGCCACTTCAGGGCTGGATCTGTGTCCTCTCTACAAGGTTCCTAGCTCTAGAGGAATGTCAGACTCAGCCCCAAGTTCAGTATCTACTGGGGAGGGGCCGAGGACTCACCTGGGCTGCAGCTGTGTGGTCACTCACAGGTGCCAGTTGGACGTACTGAACCTGAATGTCACTGCCCTGGAGAGGCGACCCGTCTACTCCCGTAGCAGCAGGGTCTGAAGAGGCCACGGCTATGAGCTGAGCACCCTGCAGTACCTGGGGTTGGGGACAAAGCCAGGATGGTCAGTGGAGCTTGGGTCAATCGATCCCCATCCTCTTCTGGTCCAGAAGCAGCAGGCCCACAGCAAGTGCAATGTAGCCCACTGCAGAGAGACACCTGGTTAAGTGAGTGCTGAGTTGTTGACTGCCATGAAATCTGCCACATCCACATATAGCCTTCTCGAAACATCCTTGTTACACATAGACATTAGTCTTTTAAAGCCTGTATAAAAACAAAAAAAGCTAGAACTTGAAAAGAGCTGCCCACAGAAAAATGCACAGGCACACTGAAGACACAGCAGGAGAGCTTAACAAACCCCTGGGCAGAGCCCACGTGGAGCCAGTAGCTGTAGAGAGGAAAACCAAAGGAGAGGGAGGGCTGCAGGGATAGCTCAGTGGGCACACTGCCTGTGTGCAAGCACGTGGACTAGAGTTTGGACCGTGAGCATCCACACACAAGTCAGGAACAGCTGGGTAGACCTGTAAGCCCAGCAGGAAGACTGCTGGAGCTAACTCACCAGCCAGCCTAGCCAATACAGTGAGTTCCAGGTTCAGTGAGAAACCTCATCTCAGAAAAAATAAGTTCAAGATAGATGAGGACACCAACATCCACCTCTGCATGCAAACACAGGCACACAAAGAAAAAAGAAGAGAAGAGCTACACTATGGCAGAGAGACTGGAGGAGTGTGTAACAGGCTCCCCGGGGAGGGTGTGACACCCAGGAGCACAGGTCTGGGGTGACCCCACCTCTGGGTATCCTTCCTACTGCCTTACTTCCCACAAAGCCCACTTGGTGCTCACACAACTGGTCAGGTGTCTCTAGGCAGACAATACAGAGCCTCTGTCATAGTTGCTAGGAACCAAGGAGCCCTTCCTTCATCGGGGCTGTGTACTATTCTAGGAGGGAAGGCCAGGAGTCCCAGACAAGGAACTCCAACAATGAACAGAACTGCCCATATCTGAGACACCTTTGGCAGGATGGCACACCCATCCTGCGGTACAAAGAAGACAGCATGTGGCATGGTCCCCACAACCAGAGACAGCAGTACAAACTCACCCAGTGAACTTCTAAGAGCTTGTAAATAGTGCTGGCTTGTCTGTCAGATAACATGTGCCTTTTTAAAGGACACACTCCAAGTAAGAACAGTGTCTTTCATGCTAATGAGGGTCTGCCAAACCAAAACAGACTCAGGTTCTCAGGCAGTGGGAAAGATTTTTTAATGACTTGAAAACCCTTTTTCATTTTTTTTTTGAGTAACTAGAAAAAAGTGAGACAACTACTTGGGGATATGAATGCCAACAGACTGAATATAGCTGTCCCCTCAGAAACTCCTGCTGGATGCCATAGTGGCAATGTCAGGAAGTGGGTCTTTCATAAGGGACTGCCTAGGATTCCTTTGGGAAGTGGTCTACCTCCTTCTTGGAGAGTGCAATGGTTGCTGGGTCAGTCTCACTTCCAGTTTGATTCTGTTCACCTATGGAGGCCTTGACAGACTCTGCTCAGGAAGAAGCCAAGAGACAACACAAACAGTGACAACCTAATGTCTAGCCTGTCTCTGCACATATCTGACCTCATGACCTACCTCTCTGGACCTGCTTATTGCTGCTTGTCTTTATGTCAACATGTGGGGCTAAAAGGACAGTTTCCTTGGCCTCACAGGAGCCACACATCCTGGTCAGCCACTCCACAGGCCACATTGACGGGCAGCAGGCTGTGCAAAATCAGGGAAAAGCTGGACTTCACCCATCTCCAGGTGCTCAAGTTCAAGTTAATTAAAAGGAAAAGGGTGTGCAAACACGTATCCGTGTACTGGTTTCCAGGCAAGTTCAAAACTCAACATAAATACTTGCCTGGTACTTCTACCCAAAAATACCTCAGCACTGCCACTACCTCACACCTGCTCTGGGACAGCTCCTGAACAATGCTACTGGCCAATCCTGCCCTCTTCTGAGCAAAGCAGGGCAACAGATGTTAAGTTGCCCAACAGTTGGCTGACAGTCAACACCCTGTTTTAGACAAAGCTTAGCCCCTCTGGGGGGAAGCCTGAATAGAGTAAAATGATCTGGCTTGTCAAGAGGCATTGACAGAAGCCTCTGGCTTCCTCCTTCCACTCTGACTTGTAGTCAGGTTCATTATTTTTGCTCAGAACTACATTTTTCCAGGCATTGTGCTTTGCTTCCTCTGACTAAGCAGTCCAGCTTCAAACAAAACCAAGAACTTCATATTCAGGGAAAGAGCAGATAGAGCTCTTGTTTTGGGCACAGCCTTTGGTGGCAGACTGGATTGGAGCCTTGGCTCTTCTAGACTCTCCCACTGTGTGAGCTGTCCTTGACCTCTCATGGGCAGCCAGGGTAGCTTGGGAGCTCTCCTCCCCTGCATTTACTCACCCATAGTACCTCCTGCCCTCCCACTCAGCTGCTCAGTGGGTTCCACATGCTCCTGTGCCAACCCTGCACCCTATCAAAACCATGCTCTGCAGAGGAATGGACTATTCCCACCCAGGATGTGAGTCACAGGAGCTTCCTGGTCTGACTGCAGGAACATGGGGCAAACAGACAGGACAATATCTACCCTGACCCGTCCTGGGTCGTCTACCAGGGTAATCTAGCAGGAAGCAAAGGGTGGCTCCCATGTGCTCCTTGAACAGCAGAAGCAGCAGGCTTCAGAAGGAAGGAAAGAACACTAACAGCAGAACTGCTGCAATGGCAGCATGATCCTGCCTCCATGAACAAAAGGCTCTGTGGTGTGAGGGATCTGAGCTTGTCAGATGGGCCCGTGTTACTAGCCACTCATCAAACCATATGCTTTTATATGCCATCAGTAGTTTCAAGTATGCCCGTACACGTCTTCAGACACATGTGATCATATGTGTGTACATGCATGAATGTGCATATAAGGCACACGCCTATTTACAGACAACTCATCAGCTCTGCTAAACTCCTAACATGCCCCTCTCCTATGGTGTCTCTGGTGTTTCTGGCTACCAAAGCAAGCTCTTATCAGATATCTGTAGGTATCTGAGCATAGACACTAGCAGTTATGTGGCAGCCTTGTAAGCCTGGGCTCACAGTGTAAGGCACTGTTTAACTTGCTGTAGGTTCTGAAAGAGCCAGATACCTGTGGAAAGCAGGCCCTGCCTGCTCTCCAGGGCTCTAACCTGATACTTCTTCTCATGGTCCCTGGAAAACACTGGTCAGGCCACCCACATCTCCCAACAAGAAACACTTACAAACCTGGATCATCTCATTTCCAGCAGGCAGATCAAGTGTGTCTCCTCCCAGAGGCCAAAGCTGGGAGGGATTAGCCTGGGCCACTGAGTCACCGCTGACAGGAATGGGATTCTGGCACAGGCCCCACGACTGGAAGAGATCAGAATGGGGGCTATAGGCTTGGCAGTGACTTGTCAAGCCACAGATCCCACCTTGTGGGGAAGAGGTAGGAAAGGGGAGGTGCTGGCACACTGGGGCTGCCTGGTTTGCTATCTCCTGGGAACTCAGAAGCCAGGCCACCTTTGGAAACCCCAAGTTAGGAGCTGTAACATAACCACAGTTCCCCAGTCATCTTACATTTTTACAGATTCCTCCATAATGAGTCTAAGATAACTGTAACTACTTTTAAGGAAGCTTCTGCAATCATGGAACCTGTTTCCCAGAAGCCTCTGCCTGTGTTGATTGCAGCAAAGCAGCAGCCTCCCTGCTCAGCACCCCGACAGTGCTGTCCCGCCAGCACCGCCAGTAAACCACTCCCTATATGAAACACGAAGCTGGTAAAATCTGCGGTGCGGTGCGGTGCTGTAAGAAAACCTCAGTTTGCAATGTTAAGACAAAGGTGTAACTTGACCAAACAATCAATGAATGGAAGCAAAATTCTCATCTGGGAAAAGCTCAGAAAGTCATGGCTTTCAAAGACTAGAGCTACCAGGCCTGGCTTGCAAACTGTCTCCCAGTGAGGAAGCTGTGGGGCCTGGACCCTGGCTATGGGATCTGACCACATTCATTTCAACTGTGGGAAAGAACTGGTGAGCTGTCACCTCGGCTGGCTGCTGTGAAGAAGAAACTTGAAGACCAAGATCATGTCAAGGGTGCTATCACCATGCTCACAGGGAGGACACTTGCCTGGGAAGGCCTGGCCATATCTGAACTGTCCAGTTCTGGCCATGCTTCTTGGGCCTGCCCCTGTGTGTCTCTGGTCCACACTCAGGATTTATCATCCTAGTGACCAGTCTTTCTCTAACAACAGGGGCAGACACAAACCTGTTCTGCTGTGTGGGCCATTTCTGAACCTGCTTCTAGCACCAGAAGAGAGAACGCTCCAAGGCACTTACCAAAACAAATACCTTTTAGCATTATTAGCATGATGGCTAATAATCCTAGCAGTTGGTAGGGAGAAGCAGGAGATCAGTAGTTCAAAGCCAGCCTTGGCTACTTAAGTGAGTTGGAGACCAGCCAGAGCTATATGAGACCACAACAACCCAAGTATGGTTTCACTGGAAATGCTACTCCTGGTGAAGGATGACAGCCATGAGGAGGACTGATGCAGGAAAAGCCAGCTGGGTGGGTAAGACCTGTTCACCCCAAGAGCTTCTTTGAAACACTGCAGCCTGGGATGCAGCCAGGGCAGCAGGGAAGATGACACCTGGCATCTATCCTTACAAACAAGGCTGAGGAAGGTCCCAGCAACACCAGAACTTGTTTTGGGACTGACACAGTAACAGTTGACTCGAGCACCCAGCAGGTATCTACGACAAATGTTGGAAACAGATGGTGCATATGCTCTGCCTTGTTTAGAGCATCCCCGTCACAGCACTGTGTAAGACTAGCACAGGCATACTGCAGTGAGCACAGGGAAGGCCCACTGTACTCCCTGGATCAACTGCATCCCAGTCTCTGGCATGTCCTGGTAGTGATTTGAGAGACCACTGCAGGTTGAGGTTTGACTTTAACGTTAAGTTGGTAGTGAATAAAAAAACGAAAGTCAAATCCCAGCTGCAGGATAGCAAAGATGAGCTTGAGTTGGGTGCCCAGGGTACATTCTGGCCGCCCAAGAAGACTGACTGCTCAGTCTGTTCAGGGGATCCCTGCTGCAGTAAGCGTCTGGCAGACAGGAGCCCTCGGCTACACAAGGAATGCAGCACTGCAGGCCACCAGGGTATGGCACACAGGGGCAAGTTTCCCATTATCTCCCAGTAACGAACTTTCAGTTCCTTCACTCCTCCTGCTCACTCTGCATCTGGAAGAGAGCCCTGATCTGCAGTTCTCCAAACAGGCTCTGCAGTGTGGAAATGTCTGACGGCACTGAAGTGAGTGCTGGTGCCCAGGCCAACAGCCAGACCCATCACCTCCAGGCAGCCAACTCCAGCTAGCCTGTAGCTGACCCCCAGTGGACTTCCCAAGGGACAGCACAGCACTGACAGGCCAGAGACAAGGACAGGGAGCAGGCGTGTGCTATATTCTCAGCTTCATTGGTAGCAGTTCCCCTAACACATTTTTGAAGCAGTGCCTATTTTTCAGACATACGAAAAAATAGCAGAGGGCAAGAATTCAGAGCAGGGCACGAAGAGAACCTGGGAGCACTGTGCTTTGGAGCACACACCATCTGGTTTTCCTCCATCCACTGCCAATTCTGAAGCTCTACTTAAAACCCAACTGAGATAATGCAAAACTGGTGCAAACCCTAAAAATAAATGCAAGAAGCCCAGGACCTTTCAGCAGTATCTGCATATGAAACTGAGTCCCACCAAGAATCTACTAGGAGGCAAAACCAAAACAAAGGGCAACACTTGTGCTCGGGGTAGACACTCACTTGTGTTGATGAGTGTGTGGCCAGCCCGACCCACAGCTGTGGGAAAAGTCCAAGAAGCTTCCACTTCTTTCTCTTACTCACTTGATCCAGCTGAACAAGGGTCTTTTCCCAACCTCAAAGGGTAGTTTTCTCCAGAAGAACAGTGAGGTACTTAGGCAACTATCCAACCACTGACTGGCCCAGACAGTGACCATCCACAAACTTTTCTCTCTCTCTCTCTCACACACACACACACACACACACACACACACACACACACACACACACACACACACACACTCCTATGACAAAGACAAACTCATGCATTGCTGTCCCTCTCCTGTGTGTATGTCTGTGTGTGCACATACATGCTCGCCCACATTCACATACATTTCCAGCAAAAGATCAATGTAAATTGTTCTCCACCTTACTACACTGAGATGAGATCTCTCATTGAATTTGGAAATTGCTAATTTGGCAAGCCCAGCTGGCCAGTAAGCTCCAGGAAACCTCTTCTATATGCCTCCCTAGGGATGGAATTACAGATGTACACTGCCACACCAGGCTTATTTATGTGGGTGCTGAGGATTGGAACCTAGGCCCTCATGCTTATGTGGCAAGCACTTTACAAAATGAGCCATACCCCAGCTACTAATTTTTTGGTCTCTGTTCTAGTTAAGGTTACTATTGCTATAATTAAACACCAAAAACAAAAATTAAAAAATTAGGCCCTGTCATTTAGCCTAATCAAAACAGCAAGAATCAGGATGCCTGGGACAGGAGAGACACAGACTAGGCCTGTGTGAGAAGCAGTCAGGGAGTTTGGGGCCCCAGTCCAATAGTACCTGGGGCTCCCTAGGTTGGCGCCAGCCAGGATTCTGGGTACTTGGCACAGACGTTACCTTTTCTGTTATCCCGAGCTGCATTCTGCCTGTCAGGAAACACAGCACGGGACACTGACTCATTTGTCCAAGTTCATAGGGCCAATAAAACCAATGGACAGAGGAGGCCTTTAGGGCAGTGTCCCAGCCTTCTGTCCTCCATGACTGGAACCACCACTTGCCTATGACAGGTTTATTAGGAAGAGCAAGGAGCCGGGCGGTGGTGGCGCACGCCTTTAATCCCAGCACTCGGGAGGCAGAGCCAGGCGGATCTCTGTGAGTTCGAGGCCAGCCTGGGCTACCAAGTGAGTTCCAGGAAAAGGCGCAAAGCTACACAAGAGAAACCCTGTCTCGAAAAACAAACAAAAAAAAAAAAAAAAAAAAAAAAAAGGAAGAGCAAGGAGAGTGATGGCTCAGCAAATCATGCCACCAAGAAGTTGTAAGATTTCCTGGGACAGGCCTAAGCTAAGGCTGAGCTTTCATAACAATAAGTCTCCGTGTCCTCATTTGTGAGCTGGCAGCCCAAAGAAAAATCTGACTACATTCATCCAATTAACACAACAAGCCTCTGTCTGGAAGCATCCAGCCACCCATCCTGCTGGAGCTCGGCTGCTCCAGAGGACATGGAGCTGTGGAGATGGCTGCCCAAGGCACCTCAAGTTTGCTCAGTTCAGTTTACCTGAAGGCAGGCACTTCAGAAATGTTTAAAAGTTTGAAGATCACCGGGAATAAAACTACTGCAGTATTCCTGACTACCTGCAATTAGAAAGAGGCCTGTGCCACCAGGCCTAGCACACACAAGTTTTTATAAAGTTGATTTTTAACCTTTAAAAAATTATGTGTAGGCCTGTGTATCTGTTTGTGAGTATGAACATATAAATACAGGTGCCCAGAAGCCAGAAGTGGGTATCAGATCCTCTAGTGATGTAGTTACAGGCAAATGTCAGCCAGTCACCTGACATAAAGCTGGGAACTGCACCCGGGTACTCTGCAAAGCAGCAAGTGCTCTTAGCCAGGCTCAATAATGTTTAAACAAGGCTCTAATATATTTCAAGAATTACCTGCTGACTTGTCAAAACGAAGGAAAATGTACTGCTATTTACAGTACAAGTGTCATCGGTCTGAAAAGCTGGAACATCTTAGACCACTAGGCTAAGCTGACTACAGTAGTCATCTACCACACTGTGTTCACAATCCATGTGCTATGTCATAACCAGTATTCAGGAGCTAATGCATGGGGCTAGAAAAGAAAGTGAACATTGCTACAGTAGCTACAGAAGCTGGAGCGGAGCCCACGCTGCCTTGAAGAGCTAGTCTGACTGCACACACTCACAAGAGAAAGATCCTGGAGCCACGTGTGAAATCACTTTCACTGAGGCTGGAAACCCAAACACAAGCAGCTTCAAAGGCGCATCACCCCTGTCTAGGCACGCTGCTCTCCACTACAGAACCAAACTACCCTTCCTGGGTGGCTGTCAATGTCAACAGCCCACAGAGAGGAAGCTCAAGGGGCAGCAATGGCTCACATCAGAGCTCAGGTCTGTGGGCAAAGCAACTATCCAAGACCAGAGTCAAGGCCAGCCCCCAGGGGCCTTCTTAAGGTAGCCACTAGTTTACTGGCCTCAAGAAGTCCTCATGACCTCAACCTCACTGTTCACCATTTTCTTCTTCTTTTTTTTTTAAGATTTATTTATTTATTATGTATATAGCATGTATGACCAGAAGAGGGCACCAGATCTCATTACAGATGGTTGTGAGCCACCACGTGGTTGCTGGGAATTGAACTCAGGACCTCTGGAAAGAGTAGCCAGTGCTCTTAACCTCTGAGCCATCTCTCCAGCCCCTGTTCACCATTTTCAATGCACCCATCCACTGTACTGCAACCTTCAATCCTATGGCTCTTCGCATTTAAGGACTTTTATTTTCCAGAAACTTCTGATAACCCACATAAATTAAAGACTCCACTATACTGACATTGTGAAAACTGAAATCCCTCTGACAAGAAGTTAGTACTGTATCAACACATTTGTCACACCCACAGTCCCCACTCTGGAGCGCTACCCTGTCGTAACCCCTTACATGAAGAGCCGAGATTTCCCTGACCCTGCTTTGACTTCCCACCAAAGCTCCACCTAACCAATTCCATCAGACCATAACAACCCTATCCACACCACTCCAAATGGTCCTAGCCCTGAACACGCTCACAGCTACAAAGACAGGAGCAAGGGCAGCAGTGTGTCACCCACCTTCCAACGGTACCTATGGCTCCACTTGAGAAGAGAAAAACCACCAGCTTTAATCATCTTAAATAATCTGCCAATGTCCCAGAGTCAGCTCTCAACAAGAACCATCAGAAACCAAGCTCCAATGCGGTGAACAGCCAGAGGTCCAGGCTCAGCCCCACACCTTACTCCACCAAGCTGTTCTTCCCACAGCTGCAGCTAGAACCAGTGAGCACATTAAATTTAAAGCCAATATACACGGCAGCCAGCTTCTTCTCGAAACCTAAGGTCACATAAAGGATGGGAAGCCATTACCACAAGAAGACACACTGGCCAGAAGCTGGGGGGAGACTTGTGTACCGGCCTACGTGTGTGGGTGCTGCAGTCTGAGCGCAAACTCGGAGAACTGAGCCACACCAGGGAAGCCTCAGGAGCCAAGACAAAGCCCAGCTTTGAGAACCCAGCCAAAGGCCCTCCAAGTTGTGTTTTAAAAGATTCTACTGCAGTTTACATTCCAGTACCCAGGGAATCCCCTGCCTCCTCCCTCTACTGACCAGAGATACTGAAGACTGGCCATTGTAGCATAAGCCTAGAAACCTCAAGTGGGAAGTACAACTGGCAAACAGCAGTGACCATTAGGGCTGGAAAAGCCAAGAGCAAGCAGAGAACCTCTAGGGCTGGACACTGACCCTTCCTGACTGTGCTTGTCCAAAGTGGCTGGGAGCAGCTGTGCACCTGTCCCCCAGAGGCCAAGTTCAGATGGCTCTGACATCATTAACACTGACTCTCTGGAGCCCACGTCCTCCTGTGACAGACAGTCTTCCTCTGGGGATACAGCTGTCCTGCTGTCCTCCCGCAGCCTTGATGCAGAAAGGCCATTACCGTCCCAAACCAGATGGACAAAATAAGGATGAAGTTATGAACTTAAAAAAGTCAGTCACAGCCGGGAGGTAGTGGCGCACACCTTTAATCCCAGCACTTGGATTAAAGAGGCAGGCAGATTTCTATGAGTTTGAGGCCAGCCTGGTCTACAGAGCGAGTTCCAGTACAGCCAGGGCTAAAGAAAAAACCCTGTCTCCAAAAAAAAAAAAAAAAAAAAGTCCGTCACATAAATGTCCTCCAGAGCTTTTACAACTAAGGATAATGTTCTGTTCAACACCCTTTCCACAAACCTACAGCCAGCGCATGCAGGCAGTCTTCAGGAAAACATTCCAGCATTCACACCAGGATGAAGAAGACCTAAGACCAACTCAGGATAAAGAATCTAAGACCTGGGCTGGAGAGATGGCTCAGAGGTTAAGAGCACTGACTGCTCTTCCAGAGGTCCTGAGTTCAATTCCCAGCAACCACATGGTGGCTCACAACCATCTGTAATCAGATCTGGCGCCTTCTTCTGTATACATGATAAATAAATAAATTAAAAAAAAAAAAAAAAGAATCTAAGAATCATAGGCACAATCTTCTTGTGGACCCAGGAAGAGGACAGGTGACAGGGCTAACTGTCCCCTGCACAGGTCTGGTGACTTTAGCTCCACTGAGAACAAACACCCAAGTAAATGGAACATTTGTGCCTTCTGAACCATAAATGAAGCCATGCTGAGTAAGGTTACTGAACAGACTGGAGAACTGGCCAGATGATAAGATGAGGACAGAATCTCTACAAGTGGGAAGCAAAGACAACTGGCTAATGGGCCTGCAGAAAACAGTTGCTTCGTGAGCACATGCTGTCCGTTTCCATCCGAAGACAAGCTGCCTCCAGGAAAGAAGAGGATGCCAGCAGTACCCTTGGATGTGTGGTCCCAGATACAGTGACACTGGGAAGCGGGATTGGAAACAAAGTATGGGGTTCACAGGTGGAAAGAATCAGAGATGTACAAGTTACTTCTCAGTGTGAAAAGTGACCAGTGTTAGAGCTTCTTGCAGGGAGGCTGCTTAGAGCAGAGTGGGTAGGATCATGGCTGGCAGCAGTGACAGGCTTCTGAGGCACTGGGCCCAGAGGCAGAACCAGGTGTCCGCCTTGGAAGCTCAAGCACTGGCTCTTTCTTAGCCTCTCTGCCCAAAAGAAGCCGGTGGCTGTGGCCTGATAGAAGCTGCCGGTCCGGCTAGACGTTGGGCTGTCTGCCCTCAGGTCAGCAGACAGAGCCAAGCATCAGGCAGGCACTTGTGCCTACAATCAAGCACAAGTATCACACTCAAACTGTGAAAAGTCTGCTGTGTTGTTGTTTTTTCCAATTCCAGGTGAAACTTTATTCATGATAGAAACAGTGGGAAACTGAGGTAACAGGCTTTGCTTTCTCATCTATGAAAAGGTGCATCCTTTCATGTTATGGGGACACACCAACATAGCAAACACAGACCACAATGTCATAAAAAGCAGAGTGAGGAACCAACTACAAGGCTGAAACTCCCCAAGAGGAAGGCTATGAGAATCAATTTCTGCCGTTTGGTCCCAACTGCACAAGCTTTGCAGAAATGACTAGGGTTCTCTTTAGCTCTGACTCTTTCCCAAAATGGGTAGCACAGGGAACAACATGGGTCTTCCAGCACAGAGAGTGTTAGTTTTGGAAAACAAGGAGCAGAGCCTCCTGTACGGTGAGTGAACTCTGTGTGTCGCCACAACTTCTTAAGCTGTATTATGCAAACAGAAGCCTGTCCTGACTCTTCATAGTGACCTAGAGCTGACACCAACCTTCACAAAAACTCCTGAAAGGCCACAGAAGTGCAAATCCCAACTGCTACCACGAGCTTCCCTCCACCCTGTAGCACTCACTTCTCTCCTGAGGAGCCTGGGATACTTCACTAAGCACAGAAGTCCTTCCAGGTATAGCCAATAAAGAACCGTTCTCCTTATCTCAGAAGAACAGGAAGGTGTTTAGGTTTGACAGCAATAAGCGAGAACCAAGCCTACCTTGTCCCACCTGAGCAAATGTCACCAAACTTCCACGGAAAGTTGCAGAAAGCAATGAACTTGGGGAGAGTTTCTTCTCTGGTGCAAAAACTAATGTGAGAGCCCACAAAGCATAAATGCAGGCCAGAGCCCCACCTGGACACTTCATCCCAGCCCCTCCCGCTGCAGGCAACCCCACCCCACCCCCACACCAGTGTCTCAGGCTGTGTGAGAAGGGTATGGATGGGGGACAGGTGAGCACTTACCTGTCCATCCTGGCCAACATGATGGATCTGCAGATTGCCCTGCACAGGGACAAAAGGAGACAGAGTGAGAACTTCCCTACACTATTGAGAAATAACCAGGAAACCACTAACTCTACAAAAATCCAACCCCTTTTAGCAATAAAACCCACAAAAATAAAACAAGTATTATAAGATGAATCTTTTTTTCTCTTGTATTAAAAGCACAAAACTTTAAACCTCTTCCCTCAACTCTGACCCACAAATGAAAATGTCTTTCCTTTTCCTTTTTAAACATTTGCAGATTCACAAGGCATATACGTACACAGTAGCACAATATGGCCCACAATAGGTAGGAAGTTACTCCCACCAGTCTGAGTCTACAGTGTCTCTTCACAGATCTCATTACACCATCATCAATTATAAAAAACACCAGAGCCGGGCGGTGGTGGCGCATGCCTTTAATCCCAGCACTCGGGAGGCAGAGCCAGGCGGATCTCTGTGGGTTCGAGGCCAGCCTGGGCTACCAAGTGAGTCCCAGGAAAGGCGCAAAGCTACACAGAGAAACCCTGTCTTGAAAAACCAAAAAAAAAAAAAAAAAAAAAAACCACCAGAAAAGCATCCCAGTCACCCCACTGAGCCAGGCAGACTCTCTCCTAGAGCACTCCCCAGGTTCTTCTGGAATAGCATTGGTTCCACAAACTGAGTACATGACTGTGTGGCCTTGTGAGCTTGCAGGGTGACACCTGACTCACCTCACTGTCCTGTGTGATCTGCACCTGCTCCCCTTGAGGCACCTGGGCAATGTGGAGGTGGCCCTGTGGAATCCACAGCAAGAGAAGACACCAAGAAGCATCAGAGAAAAACAAACCAAAAGAAACAACAAGCACCCTCTGCCAACTTCATGCCTGTCTGCTCTCAGCCCAAGAGAGGGCAGGGTCTGATTAGCCTGGTGCAATGTGTGCACTGCCTGAGCTCATCCCACACCCTTGTAAGTAAATGTTCATCACATGATTTATGCGAGTTGCTGAACTTTTAAATGTTACTTAACAACTAGGTAAGCATGTGCAGTCACTGGGGGAATACTGGTAAGGGTGGCAGATGGAGGAGTCACTCGCATGCACTGCACTGAAGTGGAAACACTAGTAAATGTGGCTCCACAGAAGCCCAGGGCCCGACTCCTATCAAAACCCTCTCTGGGGCTGGAGAGATGGCTGAGGTTAACAGCACTTGTTGTTTTGCAGAAAACCTGAGTTCAATTCCCAGCACCAATGTAGGACGGCTCACAACACCCCATAACTCCAGCTCCAGGGGATCTGAGGCCCTCTTCTGGCCTCTGTGGACACCTGCACTCACATGCACAAACCCCACACAGACAGACACATGCATACACATAACTAAAAATAAAAATAAATCTTTGTATTTTTGAAATTCTATCTTAGCCCAAATAAGATCTTATAGCAAACAACCTGCTGCAGGTGTTGGGCTGCTTCTGCTTTACTGTGCACAAAAACCTGTGCCAAAGGGATCTATCTCTTCCCACTGCTTCCCCAGACTTCCCCACTAACCAGGTGAAAAAACCTGCTGTCTGGTCAGTTACACTAATCGACAAGCCCATGAAATCCATCACCTACAGCCACTGTTTCCTTTCAAACAGCCCTGCAGCCAGTGGACAAAAAGCACCAGCACGACCCTAGAGCTGCCCTCAAAGCTCCTTGCCCTCCAGTAGTTTCTGAGGTACATACTTCCCGTCTGCCACTGCCAGTCTGCTTAGAGTATACAGCAGACTCTGCCTAGCCTTTGTGCTGCCTGTGGCTCAGAACATAGCACCCTGGCTGAGGCTTGCCTCTTTACTGTGCAATGCCTGTAGCAACCCAGCACATGTTAAAGAAATGCTGCAGAATCCAAGGCCATCAGCTTAGACCTTTTCCATTATGAAAGGCTGCCTGAGATCATGAACCAAGAATTATGCTTCCAGGGAGACAAGCCGAAACAGATTCCTTCAGACAGGCTGCACACATATGGGTGACCTCAACATTAGTACAGGACCAAGAGATGAACCACAGGGACTAGTCAAGGTCCTGCAGGGATTTCTATCACTAGGTTGTTCAGCAGCAGCCAACAGCCATGTGCAAGGTTGTCATACTGCTTCTCTAAATGGGGCACTTTCACCTCACCTCAAACTATCAGTGTGCTGCTTTCTCTGCCTGCCCCGTCAACATTCCCCCAGCTCCCTCCCCCACCTCCCGAGACATGTGAGTAAGAAGGTACGTACTACTTGCACCTGGCCATCCTCTCCAATCTGGTGGATCTGTACTTGCTGTGCGTTGGCCAACGCGTAGTGTAGGGCCTGTGGCTGCGACTGCTGTAGCTCACTGGTGGGTGGAGGGGTACCAATCATGGTCTCTGTGGAACACAGGATAAGTGTTAGGATCCTCAGGTCCCACATACAGGGTCCCACATACAGGGTGACACTCAGTCATCTTAGCTCCCTCATATCTCCCCTCTCAATTCCTGAAGAAGAGGGAAGAAGGCATCTTGTTCCTAAACTCAGGTCAGTACATCTCTGCTCTGAGAGTTATTAACAGCAAGTCAGGGGGAATTGAGATTTGTGACGACAGAGGCAAACATTGTTAAGATTCAATGACACTGTTGTAACCAACTCTTTTTCCTGCAAATACCTAGGCCAACTACTGACCTACTGCGAGTCTGTCCACAGATATGACACACAGGGCTATGCTGAAATCAAACTACATCTATAACACATTTTATTTCCTATGTTTAATTAAAGTAAGGTACATTTGGTTTGATATCTGGTATGCTAATTTTAATTATAATACAAACTATAATGAATTTTCTTCCAGTACTGGAGATTGGGTCTAAAGCCTCCAGCACACTAGACGTGTGTTCTAACACTGAGCACATCTCGGCCTCTAACTGTAATGACATCACAAGCAGAATTTTCTGAAACAGGCTATTAGGGCTTAGATTTATTTTCTTCCATTTTCAATGTATATTATGCAGTTCCATGGCAGAGAGTTGTACTAACTGGTCAGAACAAACATGCTGGACAAACCTTGAGAAAGTGGACTGTCGTTATGTGTGAATGCGAAGCTGACTCTAAAGAAAAGCTCCATGTCCTTTCCACAGCAGCATCAGAGTGCTGTGGTTTTAAAAGCACCATGACAAATTAATTAATTAGTTAATTAGTTAATTAATTAATAAAAATAAATAAAAGCACCATGACAACAACTAAACTGTGGAGTCACACACATGTACAGGCAGAAGATGGAAGAGCTGGTCCCTCTGCCACTCGAAACTAGTAGCCACTGCACAGACGCTGCTGCTTCCTGTGTCCAGCACAGTAAAGCACAGCATGTATGAATGTTTACACAGTGCTGACTTTCAGAAGCTTATATGAAACTATTCGTGGTTGGTGTCCAAACTGATAGGGACTAATCCATCATTTAATAAACTAGCTTTGCTGGGCATCATGGCACACCTGTAACCCCAGCACTCAAGAAGCTGAGGAGGAGGGTCACAAGCTGGAGGTCAGCCTGGGCTATACAAGACCTTGTCTCAAAAAAAATAAACAAGGGATGAAGACATAGCTCAATGGTACAGCACTAGCCTGCATGCATGAGGTCCAAGGTTCCATCCCCTAGCACCACCAAACAAACAAACTAGCTAGCTGTCTGGGTTACTTTTCTATTGCTGAAGAGACACCATAACTAAAGCAACTTGTAAGAGGAAACATTTTATTGGGGGCTTGCTTACAGTTCCAGAGGGTGAGTTCATGACCATCATGGTGGGGAGCAAGAGAGCAAGCAGGCAAGCATGGTACTGGAGCAGTAGATGAGAGCTTACATCTGATCCACAAGCACAAGGCAGAGAGAAAGAGACTGGGCCTGGCATGAGCTTCTGAAACCTCAAAGCCCACCCCAAGTGACACATCTCCAACAAGGCCACAATTTCTAATCCTTCTCAAAAAAGTGGGCCAACTAGAAACCAAGCAGTCAAATATATGATCCTATGGGGACCATTCTCAAACGACCACATATCCTTGGCACAAAACTCATATACAGGCCAGTGAAAAGCTTAGTAGGTAAAGGTACTTGTCACCAAGCCTACCAATCTGAGTTTGATCCCCAAAATTCACACAGGAGAGAACCTACTCTTGCAAGATGTTCTCTGACCTCCACTCATGTGCATACCACATGCACTCTCACTACCATGCCTAACCGACACACAGACCCATACACACACACACACACACACACGGGGCATGTACATGAAAATACACATACAAAACAAATAAAATAGAATAAAAGATGAATACTTATCTATATAAATATTTGTAAAGAAAAAAAAATCCTTTGCAGTATTGTGTGGTGGCCCCTTGTCTCTCTGCTAACAATTCTAAGGTAACAAGTCAACCCAGCTGGAATCAATACCAATTCCAAATTAACAGAATTCTGGCCTAATTACATTTTACCATCACCAAAATAGCCTTGAATACCAGAATAGGTTTGCTAAGGCAACAGCAGATGCAGACAAAACAATGACAAAGATTCCAGAAGTCCCTTAGCCTAACCACCCACTCCGCTTAATCAGATCTTTGCCAAGAATGTGGCATGTTAAAACAGACAAATGTCTCCTCATCAGTTTACAAAGCTGTGCACTGTCACAAGACCCTGTGGATGTCAAGTGGCAAGGACTGCCCCAAGCCCAGGCCCTTTTCTGAAAGCAAGTGCCTGTCTGCCTCCTCAGCCATGGCCCAAAACTCTATCTACTAGCTCAGTGGCAGCTCTGAGGCTAGTCCCAAACAGCACACACCCAAAGCCACCAGAAGAGGGTTATAATAATCATGCCTCATGGCGTTGTGGAGCCTCCCCACCCCCATCCCCATGAACAGCACCCTCTCAGCCCCAGGTTCTCTTCTACTCCAAACCAAAGAGCATAGAATGGGGTCAGCACTCTTCTCCCTCTAATGATGTCACTGGCAGGAGGACAGAGACCGCAGGTCAAGCAGAACAACAGCCACCTGGCAGTGCCTTCTGTGAATGATGTCTCGGTCAGACCAGCACACATACTACAGGGCTTGTCCATTCCCCAACAGTCACCCCAGGGGGCTGACAGCTGCCAGGGCTTCTCAGACACGCCATTCCTGGGGACCTGCCCAGAACCTGGGCACTTAATACAATGCACAGTGGCTAGCTGCCTACACAAGAAGCCAGCATCTATGGCATCTTAGAGAAACTGCCAACATGTTTATAAACAGAGCAGCAATCAATCAATCAAGTAGTGTGACTAGCTACTAATAAAAAGAAAAAAGTTGAAAATTAAAACACGAAATACAAATATCATCACGCTAAGCTACTGTCAAGCAGTGGAAAGAAACACAAATAACTAGAAGAGCCCAACCACTGATAAGCAAGCCAGCCTGACGCTGACTAGAGCAGGAGCCACAGAGACAGGCACAAGCACCCGAGTCTCCACCTGCAAAGTTGCTGTCGGCTTAAAGACCCAGAAGACCCAACTGCTTAAAGGGTGAGTTTGGGCCAGCAAAGTGGGTGCCAGTGGGTGCAGGCTAGAAAATGCAGAGCTTCAGGCCACTCCACTCTACCTGAATTAGAATATGAACTGACCATGATTCCAAAGTAGCACACCTCCACCTGACAACCTGAGCACCTTCAGACCTAGATGCCTGTGTCTGTAAGCAATCCACCAGTGGAGGGAATGGTCCATTGATTGTTTGGGATATATATGGAGAACTGATGATCTGCTTTTTCTACGCCGATCTCTTGGTACCCGCACCTCTGCAGGCAGTCTAACTCACCAATACCACCGCTCCTCAGGTCCTTCACATACACTAGCAAACCCCGTACAGTTGGAGTGTCTCATCCTTTTGCTCAAATTCCACTGTCACCAAAAAAACTGACTCTGGACAGCCCTCTCAATGGCTGTTAAACACTGCCCTGTGACCATGGGTCAGACCATGACTGTGGTGGCTTGGGCAATGTGCCCCCTGCACAGATATGTGCAAGAGCTCAGCATGCATCTGAGTGCAGCAGTGGAGTCTACAGATGCATGCTTCTGGGCCCTACATGTACCAAGGCAGGCGCTTTGGGCACCTCTACAGCTCCAGAGCCCTGTCTCCATTCACCCTGTGCTCGTCATCAAGGTAGCAATACAGGCTACAACACCTCAGTGTGTCAGATCTTGGGTAAGACCTGGTTCACCAAAACCCTGTCCAAAAAACTCTGACTGTAATTCCTTACAATTCCTAAATAAATAACCAGCTTCAACTACATGAAATGCAGGTACCTAGAGCATGTTTCATCTCTAACTCTGCTTGGCATTTTTTTGAAAATCTGATTTCTTTCCTTGCTACTACATTTCTATTCCTCTTTTAAGTCCTTGAACATAACTTTAATAACATTTTAGTGTGATGGGCTGTTAATTCCAGACTGGGCCTCCTTAGTCACTAGGTTTTTTTGGTTGGTTGGTTGGTTGGTTGGTTGGTTGGTTGATTTGGGTTTTGGCTGTTGTCTATTTTGGTCATAGGTTACATTGTCCTTTTTCTTGGTATTAGATCCAAGACCGTGTGAATGTTCCCAGACTAGTTGTCTGGATTTTGTTGTCTTCCTATACCAGCTGAAACCGGTGGCCCAGTGTGATCTTCTCAGGCTGTCTTTAAGTTCTGGCTTTACATGGCTAGAGAGATGGCTCAGCGGTTAAGAGCACTGGCTGCTCTTTCAAAGGACCTGGGTTCAGTTCCATCACCCAAATAGTGGCTCACAACCATTAATAACTCGTTCTAGGGAGTCTGATGCACTCTTCTGACCTTCTCCAACATCAGGTATGTATATGTTGCATAGACTTACATGCAGGCAAGAGACAATACACACATATGCATGCCTGCACGCATGCACACACGCACACACGTGTGTGTGTGCACACATAAATATATTTTTTTTAATGTTCTGTCTTTACTCTGGGGAGAGCTCAGCCATGGCCCTCTAGTTCTCTCCCAAAAGTTGGACCTGAATCCACGGTTTTTTTCTCTGGCTGGCAGATATATGGGCACTTCTTCAGCCCAATGTGAGTATGCTTGGGTACACTGACTAGGATGTCCTACTGATATTCACTGCAGGCATGCTCAGCTTGGAAATCAGCAAGAATCCTAGGGGACTCTGTGTGACTTGGGACCTCACTTCTAGTTCACCAGCTTCACTACTTGGGCTCTCACAGCACCAGGTGGGCTCCTCAACTCCTACCGGAAGGCTCCTGCTGCTCCAGGTGCCAAACTGTGCCTTGGGAGGCATGCTGAGTGAGAACAGGCACACAGCTTCCTGTGCTCGGGGCCACAGACCTGGTCCGCACTTGTCTACACAGGAGCTTTCTACAGCCAGGTTCACTCCAGTGCCCAATTCTGGAACCCGATGAAAGCAGTATCTTCCTAAACTTTAAACTATCACATGGATGCAGAGCTCATGGACAATAACATGGGAGCCACCACAGTAAGACAGATGGAACTGATGATCCACTGCCAGAGAGCTGCTACCATTGCTCAAGCAAGAAAGGAGCAACCACAACCTGTGTGGGTTGACAGCACTCAAGAGCACATCTAAGGTTAGTCACAAGTCATGTTTGACCCATTCAACAGCTGCACGCATGCGCGCGCGCACACACACACACACACCCCTCAATCAAATATAACTTCACCAAACACATTCTACCCATGCCTAGAGGCTCCCTCAGGTTTCCAGGACAGAACTTAAACTTCTCATTCTACATGTGATCCACACTACAGAGAACAATGAGTGTGACCCACACAGCTGCCACTTTGTAATAACTAGAGCTAAGTACCTGATAACCACCAAAATAAGGGAAGAAGAGCACTTTCTGGAAGATGGTCAGGGAGGGCTCCAGGTGACAAGCTTTGCAGCTTCCAAAACAAAGTCCCTGGACAAAGCCTGTACTGAGAGGGAGGCCTGGCAGCCCTCTGCCCACTGCTGCTCTGGGTCCTGAGCTGACCCCCAAACAGGACTCAACTTTCAGGAGCTACTGCTATTGCCAAGAAAGCTATGAAAAAGAGTTTAAAAGACTATTTCAGGATTGAGAACACAGCTCAGTACAAAAATCAGCCAAGACTGCCCAGGACCCTGGGGCACAAGCCCTAGCACTGGAGTGGAAAGAGGAGGCCAGGCCCGGGGTAGAGCTCCAGGAGTTTGTCTTGGTGATCTTGAGGACAAGCCTGAGTCCACAACCTCAAACTAAGACTAAAGAGCACGATGTGGGCCCTCCAGCCACTCTGCAAGTAACAGTAACTACTGTTAAGCTACAAGACACTCAAGAAATGAGAACCCAGACAGCACAAGGAAGGTCCTGCACCAATTCTTCCTGTTGGGGCTCCAGGGTAAGAGAAGCAGACCTCATGCTCTTGCCACTGCCTAGGGAGCTCCCAAAATGCCAGCCTCACACTGGGTGGGGCCAGAACTGATGAGCTCCTGGGTTGTACTCTGCATGTGAACAAAGGCTTTAGGGCAATCTTCTCCTGAGCATACCTGAGGCACTGTATGAGGATGAGGATGGTGTTCTCCGGGAGAAGCTCTTGACTGCCAGGCTCTGGCCTCGCTGCTTCCGCCGCCATGCTGTACGGCACTTGGAGTCAATACTCTGCTTGATCCGATACCAGTCGGATTCCGTGATTCCAAATTTATAGAAGAGGTGACCTGAAAGAACATGTCCCAGATAAAAGCTATCAAATGCAGGCCTTGACCTGGACCCCACTGTTGAGAGAAGCTGAATGCTGCTAAGAGACCTAGCTGACCTGTTGCCCTACTCCTGGAGGGCTGATTCATCTTCCAGAAAACAAGCCAGAAAATCTAACTGCATCAGGGAAAAGAGTCACTCAGGTCACTAGGTTAGCAGGATCAGATGCAAATACTTACCACTCTTCTTGTCTATTTAGCCTTTAAATAAGCTGACTTCACCCCAACACCAAAGGGACTCCATTTCTCACATGCTCCAGACTCCCCAGCCTCCAACTTCTCTTGCCCTAAACTCACAAGACAGCACATGCCATCCTGACTGCCTGGGGAATCAAATGGAGACTTTACACTGTACTCATGCAGGTCCTGCTAGAGCTCCAGTCCATTACCCTCTGCTCTGCTAGGCCCACACACCCACCTCTGCCCAGACTAGTACTTTGCCCTCCTTCCTCATCCAAACCTCCCCTCAGCACAGCACACCTGCTTTCTAGAACACCCATTACTTCCCTAAATGTATAGGATTCTCACAAAGTATTTATACACCCTTCTTCCTTGCAAATGCAGGAAACCGGGTTGTGCGCGCTGTGCCGGCACTCAGTAAACACTGGCTAACCTCTCAGTGAGCAGCAGTTATCTGATACTATCGGGCCAGTGCTCCTTGTCAGATGCTTGCTCCTGTGTTCTTGCAAGCTGTCTCCTAGAAAGCAAGTTCCCTGAGCAAAGGAACTACTCCCTGGAGTTGCTTGATGCCCTGGGGTGGAACAGAACCCACACCCCACCACTGGAGGATGGAGCCGAAAGCCATGCACATGGCAGAGCACCCACTGGGACGCAAACTGATAATCCTGTGTGTACAGAGCATGCCAGGAGCATCACTGAACAGCATGCAGATACTATCACTCAATAATAAGGAAATCAAAGATACAGAAAGCCACCAGAGACAGACAACAGACTAGAGGTGTCAGACTATTCTAAGTCTGGCCCCACATCTCACTAGCCCATGTGATACCCCTCCCTTTTTTCTTTTTAGAACTTACATTTTTGTGTTGCCATTTGACTTTTCCAATTTAAAAATATTTTTACTAAAACATGTATTGGTGTGGGTGTGGGTGTGGGTGTGTGGGTGAGCGCATGTATATGCATGTATGTGCACGATGTTTTTGTGCATGTGCACATGAGTGCAGATGCCCACAGAGAGGTCAGAGTCATTGGATCTCCTAGATCTAGACAGTTGTGAGCCATTGATGTGGGAACTAGGAACCAAACTGAGGTCTCCTGGAAGAGCAATAAGTGCTCTTAACCACTAGACCATGTTTCCAGCCCATGGTCCTTTGTTATAGCCAACAGCAGCAAGAAAGATGGTGGTGAATGATACCACAAAACATTCTCTTCAACACAGTGACTTTTGTAGCTGGCTCATGTAACTTTACTGATTAACAGGAAAGTAAGTGGAAGAAATTCAAACTATAATAATCAAAAGCCTAAGTTGGAAAACTTCCTGTTTTGACTATTAAGGCCATTGAGTTTGGATCATATACTGAGAGCTAAGTTACCACCTAAACTCTAAAACTGCTTCTGTTGATACCAAATACAAGAAATAATGAAAACAAAGCCTTTAAATGCTGTGTTAAGTCTCAGGCATTAGGAAATGTCTTGACTTTTCTGTGAGCATATGCTTAGAAAACAATGACAGGCAGACTTCCTCACGTGATTTGGAAGGAGGCTGGCCCCTGAGAATACCACATGGAGCCCAGCAGCATTTTTCACCCTCCCTCATGAAAGGAAATCTGAGTGAGTGTGAGCTAGAAACTCTGGTCACCTAAAATAAACACGGAGTTATTATTCAATAAACCACTGAGCAATTATACGTGCTGCATGTGGCTTTAGGTATGGATAAAGGCCTCACTAGGTCACAGGCTAGTTACCTGGCCACCAGTCACAGTCACCACAGAACCCACTACTGACCAATTACCTTATCTGATGCACATTTGAAAACCTTATAGAATAAGAATGTTATCACCCTTGTTACCATTTTGAGGCAAAAACCAGGGACAAGAGACACATTCTGTAAGACCAGCCTCACTATAGTTTCTGGCTCTCCTCCTATGCATCTACCTTCATCATAGCTGAGGACCTCAGGTGAAAGCTTCAGGGAGACAGACAAGAAAAGGCCTGCTGCCACATCTTACTCAGAAGGCTGCTCTGAGGTCATGCAGTAGAATCAGGCTTAAAACCAGAAGCTCTCAAAAGAACAGAAGCCTCCACTTGCTGGCCTGTGGGTCACCTGTTGCCCAAGGAGTGAAGCATTTAGCTCACAGGAAGACTAAGGTCAAGGGCACACCTGTACTTCAAGCTGTGGAAGGTGGCCCAGCTTGCTCTCACCTACTTGTAGCGGAGCCAGGAAGCATCTCCCATCATTGCTAGCAGCTTTCCCACCCTCCAGAATTCCACTGCTGACTCTTCAAATCAGAAAAGCAGCTTCCCAGCTCTCACTTAATGAGCCTACACAGGAGACTGCCAGGAGCTGTGGGAAAGGCAACAGACTAGAGGAAACAAACAGAGCCCCTCAGTAGGGGGCACATTACATTATCAGTCACAAAGGAAGGAGGACACTATTATTACTGCTGAAGCAATCTCAAGTCCACGGAGAAAACCACGCAGGGAACTGCATGCCAAGAACTCACTTTTCATATTACAGACCTGACATAATAGCAGCCCCCCAGGAAGACAACAGACCCCACCCATGCACGGGAAGGAGCACTGGGCGAGGGGCACTCTGAACAGGCCTACGCCCGTCCAAGCCTCCCAAGGAAAGCCTGTTGGGCTTTCCCCAACTCATCCTGGCCCATACATACTTCCTTACAACTCCTCCTCTTAGTCTGTAGTCTCTGATGGCCATTCTAGGCCAGGTCCCCAGCAGGGTCCAATCCCCCTGAGAAGAGGTCTCCCACCGGTCTCCAGGATTCACAAGCTCCTTGGCTACCAGCTCAGATTACCCAAACTCTTCTCTGGCTCTCTGGTCAAACTGGTGTTCTTAGTATATCCCAAGACCCCTGCCAGGCCATGGCAGACCAATGCCACACCTATGCATGGGCTGTGTCCAAAGCATATGAGCAGTTTTCCCAATCTACCCTTCAGGACCTGAGAGGAGACAACATCTGATTATCGAAGCTCAGAAAAACTCACATCCCTGTGCATTGATGGGAACAGTGTCCCTCAAAATTCATGTCTTTCTCAGGACCTCCAAATGAGACCTCGCTTGGAACCAGGATCTTTGCAGGTATGATTGAGGATGAGGTTATATTAATGGATCCCACTTCAGTACAACTGGTGTGCTTATATGGAGAGGGGAGAAACAGACACCCAAAGAGGAGATGGTCAATAGAGGCAGCACCAGCAAGCACCAAAACTGCTAACCACCACCAGAGGTAGAGGCAAAACCCCTTTTAAAGGAGGAGGAGCTCCCCTGCCAACAGCTAGACCTTGCATCTGGGCCTGTGTTCGAATGCTCAGTCCATGGACTCTGTTAGAATCTGGGCCTGTGTTCGAATGCTCAGTCCATGGACTCTGTTAGAGCACCCCAGGAGCCCATGATGCACCAAACCAGGAGAGCTCTCTGGCTCGCACAGAATGTGTTACCTGCAACTTATGACCAAGAAACTGCCTGCTCTAGGTAAGAGTGGCTTAGGAAGAGCCTCTGCATGGATAGTGGTGGCGCAAACCTTTAATCCCTGCACTTGAGAGGCAAAGATAGGTGGATCTCTATGAGTTAGAGGCCAGTCTGATCTACATAGTAAGACTGTCTCAATAACAAGGAAAAAAGAAGAGTCACTGCATTCATCTATATCTGCTGGTTATCTGTAGGCATGTATGTAGTTTTGTACAAATTAAAAGCCTTCATTCAAAGCACTTTCAAAGAGCCTGGGAGTCCTCAGGGTCTCTCATCCACACCAGCACTCTTTACAGATATACAGAGATCAGACTGTGTGTGTGTGTGTGTATGTGTGTGTGTGTGTGTGTGTGTGTGTGTGTGTGTGTGTGTGTGTGTTTTAATTAATTTCTGGCACCTGGCAGACTGGAGCATGCTCATCTGCAGAGTTCAAGCAGAAGCTTGGATGATCCACTAGCAAAACTCTCAACAACTCAGCCTATATGCTCACTTGAAAGAGCACCACTTCCATCCCCAGTGCACTCCCAAGGAAGACACTCAAAGCCATCAAAGGCACTTTCCTACTGCTCTTTCCGCACACACTTTCACTGATGACTCAAAGCCTGGGGAGCTAACCGATCCCTAGCAAACTCAACAGGACAGCTTATTTCTTTCCCCATCTTCCATTGTGAAGACGGCACTTAGAGACAAGACCACAGCTAACAGGACTAGCTGAATAAGGCCAGCAGCAGGCATTACCATGAGACTCTGAAGGAGGGGTAGAGACAAAGTTTGAGGTAATACTAGCCAAGTTAAGACCTGGAGGTCAAAGGTGAACAATCCTTTTTTTAACACTCAATGGTTCCATGTGAGCACTAACACAGTACTGATGATAGACGGGCTGGGGTGGGAGGCTGGGTAGGTTTCGCCCCATCCGTAGCCTCTGAGGGTGGGACCACACCCAAGGGAGGAAGGAGTCCGTGTGGTACGTCCTTATTAACAGCCCGCACTCCTTCCCTCACACACAGCCCACAGATTCAGCTGCCAAGTGAACACAAGTGCAGACCACGGTTGGGGGAAGACAGGCGGACTCTTCTGCAGATGCTCATAGCCTTCGTGTCCTTTTCTCCCCAACCCACTACACGCCCCTGCAGCTGGGCCAGGGTGTCTAAATATGGGGCACACTGGTCCAACACTCTGAAGCCCCAAGGCCAGTCTCTTTCTAAGGAAACTGTTAAATACCTACCTTCCGTGAGATATTTGATAGAGCTGTGGTTCTTCCAGCCCCAGTACTTCCCCATGTGGCTGTCTCCTCAGTAAGGACAAAGTAGCTGCCCCTTCTGGGATGATGGAAAAGCCAAAGGTGTGGCCCCAGTAAGACTAAACACACAACCAGCCCAGGAATCATCCTGCATGGGAGCTCTGGAATGAACAGTCTAGGAGGGTGGGCATCAGCCTGGGTCACTGTTAAGAGGGGCCTGGGCTTCTTACATGCTATGCTTTCCAAGTATCACCAGGAAGACAGAGAGAACCAGCCTGAGCAAGTAGTATTCCTCAAACAGGAGGACAACACCAAGATCATGTTGGGCACTAAAATCGGTCCTAGAGTGCTACTAGCCTCCAACAGAGCCAGATCAGCCCATGAGCACATCACAGTGCCAAGGCCAAGACCTCCCTGAACAGACCCCACTCATGCCAATGGGCAACTCAGGAGCACTGTGGCCGGTGGGCAGGAGGGAATCCCACCTCTGTTCTCTCTTCTTCAAGAGCAGCCTAAGGATGACTGACACTGGAATCTGCAACTCCCTGGAGAAGCACATTCCCAAGTGTCCCTCTCAGCACAGGGCACCACACGACATCTTGCCAAGCAAATCCTAAGTCCAGATCCCCATCTCTGTGATGACCACTGAGCTTGGCATCACCCCCAGCACTGGAAATAAGGTCTAAATTCGGCTCCCTGACCACCTCAGCTATTATCAGCTGTGTGAACTTACACCGGATACCGTAGATAGTGAGGGGGTCCAACTGCTTCTTCCCATGCTTGCCCTGGCCCGACAAGTTGGACACAGCCTGCACCTCTCGATGGAACAGGTAGTCCAGCAGCGTTAGTGCCATCTTCTCGGCTGTGCGACAGTTAGTGCTGATGTGCAGCATGTCGGAGGGGATGATGGCACATCGTACCCGCATCTCAGGGTTATTTTCATCGCCCAGCCAGGTGCCATTGGGATAGTCCTCTGAAAGAAGAGACAAGTCTCAGCAAAGCTCAGAAGCATGTTAAGACAGCACAGCACACAGCTCAAATATAAGCTCCCTGGGGCTCCTAAGCCAAGCTCCCAGCCTCCATCTGGTTGCCAGGAACACCAGAGCTGAGATGTAGCCACTGGTGTTGGCCAGTAGCAGGCCCAAGACACCCTGATTGTAGAAGAATACATCAAACAAGATATGGGCCCAAATACCAGGAGCCCCTTGGGATAACAGAACTGAAAATGAAATCTTAAAGGAGGATAAGTGTGCTGGTGCCGCAGAGTCCAAGCACTGCCAGTCTCCAGGATCTACAGGCCCAACACCTTTGACCACACTGCAGTCAGTGTCGTGTGCACCTCTCCCAGACAGCCTCTGTCAGGTCCCCTTATCACAATACTGTCTTACAACATCACGGGGATAGCTGGGCATGGTGGCACAAACCTTTAATCCCAGTACTCAGGAGGCAGAGGCAGGAACAGGCTGGCCAGGGCTGTTATACAGAGAAACCCTGTAAGAAAGACAATGGGGCAGGGGGATCCACGTGGAACAAAGCAAAAGTGGAGATGGGTGTACAGTCCCCTCTTAAGCAAGAAGCTTAAGTGAGCTAAGCAAGAAAACCAGTGGCAGCAAGTGTCCCCTGTGGGGACAGGAAAATCACCTCAAGTCAAGAGAGGCCTAGGTCTGCTGTCATTCAGTGATCCGGGGGACAGTGAACAGGAGGGAGAACTGCCACAGAAGCTACCTGCATTGCTTCCGCTAACACAAAGATCTGGTGCCCTCTGACCTTGGGCAGACTACCGTGGAGTCCATCCAGGTGCCCACCGGTAACACTGAATCATGTCTCTACACAGAACAAGACACAGCGTCCACTCACATCGTTATCTGAAACATACCTTTTGTAAATTCAGGAGGAGTATACTTACTTTACTAAAATGCTAATCCAATTTTAGCATCTGAACAATGCATTCTTATAGTTTTACTTTATAGTACAAGCAAAATAAACATGCTTTCTCTTCCAGTCATATAAATCTTCAATGACATCACCACTTTTGAAAACTGTTAAAATGAAAAGCTTCCACCAGCAATTTGGATTTTTTTGCTCTTCTTTAAAGCAGGTCAGAGTACAAGCAGCTACTCTTAGTGTGTCTTAAGTTCCAGAAAAATAAAATTCACGAGGAATACCTAGATGAACATCTCTATCCTCACCCCCCACCATACCCACCAAGCCCCAGTGCAGAGCCAGTCCTGGTCTATGCTTCCACTTCGCTCTAGAAGGAAAGCAGACCATGGGGTAACTCCTTCCTGAGTCCAAGCAGCCGGGGTACAGATCCTGTATTATCTCCAGGGCCTTGGCCTGGGCAAGTCTTTGCCTAGGATGAGTTTGAGGTCACGTGGAGCATAGAAGACACTTTGTTCCACATCTGCTGTGCAGCAACTACCACTGCGCCACTCCACAGTGTGGGCTGCCTCAAGACGAGTCCTCACCTCCCCCACCTCACCCCAGCAATAACCACCACAGCCTCGCCTCTGTCATTTCCATCACATCCAAGGCCCAAGGCATCAGCTACATGAAGCAAGAGAGGAAGGTCCCTGGGGCAGCTCAGATGAACAAGAGCAAGGGAGTCGTTCCTACCTTTGCATACCTCACTGGACACACTGGGCTCTGTGACAGTCCTGTCTCACCGACGCCCCTGTCCCTAGTCAAGAGCACCAGTCACACTTGTGGGTTTCCTAAGCCATTCTTGCTTAAGTCCTGGAGGCCAATGGCATATGCCATTCTCCAGCAGAAGGATAATAAAAAAAAAAAACAAACAAACAAACAAAAAAAACAAAAAACACTAGAGAAGGTGTAATCTGTGGAGGCTTCAGGGCTGTTCAAATACTACAGACCTCAGGTCAAATTAGCTACCTGGGGTCAACCTCAGCCTCCTACATACAAGTTTTTAGACAACAGACTTATAGTCATGAACTAGTGTTAAGTGTATTTTTCCATCTATACAAAAAATTAATTCTCATGTGGCATTTGTAAAGCCAACCTAAACAATTTACCAAATTAAGGCACATGCTCCATGAGATACTTGTTCTGAAAATGAATATAACCAGAATGAAGTCCCCTGGAACTTACCAGACAAGAAACAAGAGTCAGCATCCACTGCCTTCCAGGCCACACTGCCACACAAAGCCCAGAATGTTCTCAGACCCAGCCAAGGGCTGATCATACTTATTTAACCCAGTTCTTCCAGCAAGTGGGCAAGAAAAGCCTCTTTGTAGTCCAGAAAACACCTTATTCTTGTGCATTTATAAGTATCTGCTGCTCAAAGGGGTCCAGGAGCACCCATAGAATATGAGGCCACATCTGTGTCCACATACCCATTCTTAATAGCTGCACCTAGACTTTGAGATATTCTGACATAATCTCCATCCACACATGGATGGCTAGAAATCTAACCAATGTTCCACATGGGAAAGAGAGCAGAAGGCTGGAAGGTGGCGTATGCCTTGAACCACGGGAAGGCCAGCCATGCGCTAGAGTACAAGTATAACAACCAGAGGCTACTTCTATGGTGCAGAAGTGGAGAATTTTTGAAATTCATTCCATAAACTACAAATTCAATTTAGAAATGCCATACTCCACCATTTTCTTTTCAAAGGGGTTTTTTGGTATATATATGATTTTTGTTTAATTTTTCTTTTTTTAGTAAGCTATTTTAGATCAACAACAATTCTATTATATAGTTGTGGTTTCTAACCAATAATGCACAAATATTTCTTAGCATATGAAAACTAACCACAACCAAGAAGGGCTCTGTTACCCTATACCATGTGGTCATTCCAAAAGCAAGATCCATGTATTTGCCATCAGCTCATTTCTCTATGGTTGGGCTTCTCAGAGGTTGGTCACAATAAAGGAAAACAGCAAAAACTAAGCTGCAGGCCATTTGGAGCTTGTCCAGGCTACCATTAGTTTTACAGTGCAGGACCTAAAGGGCATTTGTCACAGGAGGTTGTCAGTAAGTCCTGACTGATCAGCAGAATGTGGCATGGAACTACACTTGCAGAAACCATGGGCTGAAGAAGGAGCATTCTGAATCAGTGATAACTGAAACATAATACTTCCTCATTGTAATTAAGTGTTCAGCATTTTACATGGAGGATTAGCCCATCCTCTAGGAATTATGCCCGCACTATGGGAAAGGAAACCCAACTAAATCCCTTAATTAACAGATCTGTTTTGATTCATTTAGCTAATTTGTATGTCACACAGCCAACTTAGCCTCTGAATGACTATGCCCCTCATATTCTCAGTGTTCAAGAATGAGCTATAGGAGGACCTGACTACCACAGAAGACATGGGCAAAAACTAGGTTTAACAAGTACTGCTCCAATTAGAAGGCATCTTCTACCTCACCCAAACTTAGTTTACATCACTTAAAAATTAAGTAAAAAACTAAACTACCATGAAATGGCACAGGCCTGTCATCCCAGCTACTTCAAAAGCTAAGGCATAGGACTCAAATTTCAAGGCCTATCATTCCTGGATGCAGAGCAAATTCAAGGCCAGCCTAGACAACTTAATGAGATACTGTCTCAAAATAAAGAATGAAAAGAGGGCTGGGATATAGCTCAGTGGTAGAGAACTTACCAAAGGCCCTAGGTCCAATCCCCAGTACCCTAAAAACAAAACAAACCAGTAAATGGTGCCTTTGTGCTATAACCAACTGATTTCAAATTTTATATAAAACATTTGGAATTCTTAAGTAATAACCACTTCAAGGTCCGGTTCTCAGACCTCAGGCACACAGATACTCAGATAAGAAGAAGCATCTGTCAGCTTGCAATTCTTGGCTCTTCACAGGAGACAAAAAGACTAAATAAACCCTACAAGCTTATCCAAGCACCTCATATCAATAATGCTTCTATGGCATGAGCCAGATGGCCTAACACTCCCTGCTGAGCAAGAAGACAAGATCATGACTCTGAGTCCCACAGGTTAGAGGCCAGTACTGTCAGGACTAGTGGGCAATGAGTCTGAAGTGAGACCCTGTCCTGCTTGGTAGTCCTCCTAGTACCTTCACGAGCAACAATCACTTAATAATGATGCCACCTGTCTGCAGACACTTTTTAGAAAACCACTGTGCCAGCACATGGATCAGCAGGATCATTTACACTGCTAATAAGACAATGTGATCTACCTTTCCCAAAGAACAAGAAAGCCAGATGGTTCTGAACCATGACCTCTTCTTCAAAAGTAAACCATGAGTTGGGGAATATCGAGTCCTAGCACTGGAAAATGGAGATTCCTAGTGCTGCCCACCAGCATCACGACTGTGGACACAGGCAGCTTTTAGTATGGCTGTGACACTGCTCAAAGTCTCTTCGAACAACACATCTTCCCCAGAGATGCAGCCTCTATTTAGAGAACCTGAACTCCGACACCTGTTTCTGTTCCTCCTTAGGACACCAGTAACAAAGGAAATGTGCCTACCATGGTTCCTTTTCCTGAGTTCATTTCAACACAATCTGCTATTTCCCCAAGTGTATGTCACACCCATCACATCACCAAATCAGATTCAAAAGGGAAAATTATATTCTTATGATAATCCAGACTCCCTGGATTATCAAGGTTATATTCCTTAGCGGTCTATACCAGGCCTAAGAAGCTGGGCAGACTAACCAGAGCTTGCACAGCTCCCACAGGAAAGGAGGGAGATCAGCCAGGCTCCTTTGGCTATCACAGGCATGATCCTTATGCAGCTTCCTTGACGAAGGAATGATTGGTACCTTTCTTCTCAGTGTTAAAGTAGCCAGCTGTCCTAGCCTTGAGTCCACATGGATGCCAAAACTTACACACAAGTGTTCACACTTCAAAACATACAACAGCCAAAAGCAGAAATGATCCAAATGCCTGTCAACCAACAATGTCACACGAGGGCAAGTCTGGAGCCTGGACCATGCAGCCCCCGTCATACAAGGGGAGGGGGGGGGGGCAAAGTACACAGCATGCAATCTTTGTCCTATTTGGGGAGAGCCAGGGTATGGGGAATACAGTTCCTGCCATATAAGAGAGAAGCACTGCTAATACAGCCCCTGTGTGTCTAAGGAAAAGACCAGGGCACAGGGAATGCAGCCCCTTTCCCTACAGAGGGAGGACAGGAACATTTATGGCCTGCAACCTGGATGCCATGACCCAGTCACATTCAGGGCTCACAGGAACTCCCATTACACACAAGAGGATCAGCAGCTAAAAGGGCTGGGCGGGAGGATGAGGAGGACTACTAAACGGTTTGAGGTTTCTTTGAGAAGATGATAAAAAAAATTCTGGATTCAAATAGAGGTGACAATGTATAAACATGTGGATACACTAAACCAGCCTCTGTCACTTTAACAGAAACAGTTTCTAAGACAGAAAGCTTTCAGAGGATTCAGTTCACATCACTGGGCCTGTGGTAGCCAGTTATCATAGTGGAAGTGTGGCAGAAGAAGCTGCTCATCCCATGAAAGCTAGGACACCAAAGGAAAGGCCACATGGGGCCGGGACCCCACTCTCTCCTTCAGAACACACCCGAAATGGCCCAACTCCTCCCCTAGGCCCACCCCCTGTAAGTTCTATTTCTGAACAATAGAGCCATGGGTAGGGATCAAGCTCTCAGTACAAGCATTTGAAAAGAGTCACATCCAGCCGGGCGGTGGTGGCGCACGCCTTTAATCCCAGCACTCGGGAGGCAGAGCCAGGTGGATCTCTGTGAGTTCGAGGCCAGCCTGGGCTACCAAGTGAGTCCCAGGAAAGGCACAAAGCTACACAGAGAAACCCTGTTTTGAAAAACCAAGAAAAAAAAGAAAATGAAAAGAGTCACATCTGAATTTTAGCAACTGCTAAAATGTGTGCTGTAAAATGATCAACTGTGTAGTATCGAGCTTCATAGAAAGTATTGTCCTTACTCCCCAACCCCAACACTGCAATTTTGAAAGACATTATTTCTAGTATTTCAGATAAAGTAACAAAGAGTAAATTATTGTAAAGTAGAAAAAAAATGTGCTTGCAGGAAAAAACCAATAATTTGGATGTGGAAGCAAAGCCTCACACAGTCTCATGGGTAAACAAAGTATAAGCTTAGGATTCTCACACAGAGCTAAGTCTGTCAGAGTTCCTTCCTTCCTTTCTCTCCACATTATAGTCACTTAGAAGCCAAGTGCATACAAGGGCTCCAAGTGTCACAAAGTCTTTGAAATGCACATAGGCTGACCACAGGCCAAGGAACAGGCAAGGGGGCACATTAGACTCATCAGGGAAGAAGAGCTTGTCCCACCATGAGAACCCCAAGAAATCATGAGCAGGAGTCTGGGGAAGACAGACCCCAGCACTGGCTCCTCCTGGCACCTTACAGATCACCAGTGCAAAAGGCAAACCAGCCCAAGGAGACTGTACTCCCTAAGCCTGGCAACAGCCTCTGGAAACCTGCAGAGAAATGCCAAGGACAGTGAGTGGCTAGCGGTACATGGTCATGAAAGCTATTCTTCCTCAGGAAGTAGGCCGTCTAAAAAGGTAGCTCCAGCCAGGCGGTGGTGGCACATGCCTTTAATCCCAGCACTCGGGAGGCAGAGGCAGGAGGATCTCTGTGAGTTCGAGGCCAGCCTGGTCTACAAAGCGAGTTCCTGGAAAGGTGCAAAGCTACACAGAGAAACTCTGTCTCGGAAAACCAAAAAAAAAAAAAAAAAGGTAGCTCCATAAGTGACACTGAAATCACTCTGAAACCCCAACTGACGTGGAAGAAATCGACTTCTGTGCGATCAAGGTAAAGTGAGCATAAAGCCAACAGAACGTGAGAAAGACACAGGCGCTGGAAGCCACTGTGGGATTCCCAGTTGCGTTAACTTCCTTCATCACTTCTGTATCACTCCTTAGCAACCATAAGCTACGGGTTCTTCCAAAATAACGGCACAAAGGGACAACTATGGCCGCGCTGACAAGCAGAGCAGTCCTGGTAACATACCTTCGGAGTTCAGGGTGATGAGCGTGACGTTGCTTCCAATGTTCTGGCTTCCTGGCTGACCACAGTTAGACACAGAGTCACTGGCCTCTGACCCGCTCTCCCCGTCTTCATTATGGCTGTCATCCTGGCCTGGCACCTTCACCACGATTGTGTTCTGCCGACGCCCAGGAACAGCGCTGGCGGGAAACAAACACAGCAGCCCACGCTGTGAGAGGGACATGAGTGGCACACTGAGACTAGCCCTGACTCACTGTGCTGTGTGGACTTATCCCAATGCCTAGGTGAGCACAGACCAACGCACAAGGTGGGTCCCCCAACATGCGGTGTGTCCCCACACGCACCCTCCATGGAGATGAGCTGCAACATAACACAGAGACAGCCTGAGGCCGAGAAGACACAGAATATAAAGCAACTGCTTAAAACATATGAACAGCACAAAATAAATAAAATCATAACTCACTGAGACTCAGCCTAGAATCCTGCTTTCAGATCTCAGAGGCCATCCTAACCAGGCTGATATGCACAATGGTCATTGTGTGTTAGAGAGGCCCCATCCATCCACCACCCCTGCTGTCAGACACCCAAGATGACTCAGCCTCCAAAACACCTCCACACTCCCCAGGACTCCCAAAAACAAATCCTAGGAGCAGCTTCCAAGGCCATCAAGAACGCTAGGAGTCCCCTGGGAGCCATTCTTGGTACCGGGCCCGGAAGTGCAGCAGCAGCCAACAACTAGCAGCAGAAAGTGCTCAAAAGAGACCCGAGCCTGATTTGTCTTCTGAATGACCTGTCAACATTTTGGACTGTGACCTATTACACACTACAGAGGAAACGAAGCTCTATTTCCCACCAGCAAAGTCACAGGGGGCTTAAAACTCTAGTCATCCCCAGAGGCAGGAGCCACACCAGGTCCTTCCTGGACTTGACCCCACACAACTATCCACAGTGAACTGGCTCCTCAACACTCCACACCCATGACCTCAGTGCAAGCCTGGAAACCCATATTCTCCCCAGCAGCCTGGCTGGCCTCCAGCACCCCCACATCACACCCCAGACCTGTTTCCTAGAGAACTGGACCAGGACAAGAAGCCAGAAAAAAAAAAAAAAAAAAATGGAAAGAGCCACATCCCACAGAGAAAAAAAAAGCATGACAGGAATCTGTGAGAACACTGCTGGTAACCAAAAGGTGACAAACCTCCTGAGGCACAGAGCCAGAGCCAATGGGCAGAGGCCCCCACACCAATGGCCCCCCCAGGACATGGCCATTGTACACTTTCATCTCTGACTAAAGTTCACAAACTCACCACATCTACATCATTTACCAAACTCAGAAGAGGACCACTGCAGGACAAATGGATGGGAGGAGCAAGCTGAGCACGTGCAATACTCTGGCATCTTCACACAGCAGATCCAGCCCAGAGTCCTCACAGCTGCCGCCCCGTCTGCTCTCTCTCCCACCATCACTAAGCACCAGGCTGGCCCTCCCTGACCTGTGAACTGTGGTGGTGGTGGTGGTGGTGGTGGTGGTGGTGGTGGTGGTGGTGGCGGCTAACAGAGTCAACCCTGTGATCACAGACATGGACATGGGTTCCGACTGTGCCCTGGCTCAGGAATGCTCACTTATGACAGTGGCGGGGGAAGGTGGGGGGTGGTGGCTACTGACTTGCTAATGATATTTTCCAGGGAATCCGGTGCCCTGTTGCTCAATGGGTCTTCCATCTTGGCTACAATGGCGTTCTGCCGATCATTGTTGAGTATTACTGTAGTCTGGGGGACGACGCTATGGAACAAAAGAATCACAAGAAAAAGAAGGCCTTAAAACAACAACATTCATTGTCAGAGTACATCGTCATTCAACATGGTCAGATCCAGGGCCTGCATCAGAGAGCAGGGGTCTAGTCAGGGACAAGTAAACTGGAGATTGGACTCTTCCGTTTCCTGCTGGTTAGTATTCTTGGTTGACAGCAGGCTGGGCTGTGGATGTTTAACAGAATGGGTAGGACAGGCTAAGGCACTCTCCTGCCCTATGTACCTGCAAGCGCCATATCAGCAACAGGTTTACATGAAAACCAGCTTCCTTTTTCTTTTTTCTTCCCGTGTGTGTATGTGTGTGTGTGTATGTGTGTGTGTGTGTGTGTGTGTGTGTGTGTGTGTGTGTGTGTGTGTGTGTGTGTGTGTGTGTGTGTGTACACAACAGGGATGTGAGTTGCATGCAGAGGCCAGAACAGGACATCAGGAATCTTCCTCTACTGCTCTCTGCCTTATTCCTTTGAAACAGGGTCTATCACTGAACAGCAAGCTGGTAAGCTAGTCTGTTCAGCTAGGCTGGCAGGTCAGCAAGCTCAGAGATCTGCCTGCCCTCAACCCCGCATTGCTGAGGTTACAAGATATGCACAGCCATGTCTGGCTTTGTACATAGGTGTTAGGGATTTAAACTCAGATCTTCATGCTTGTAGAAGCATGAGCTCTTACCCACTGAACCAGCCCCCAGCCTAGTTCAACCTCTTTCAACCGCGTCCCTCCCAAACAGTAAGGGATGAGGGTCTCACAGCTGCCCTTCTCAGTGCTGTTCTACAGCTGCACTCTAGAGTGGAGCAGGCAGCCCTGGGCAGCAAAGGGAAACATGCACACACGCCACCCGCAGCCCTGGGCAAAGTGCAGGACCGAAAGAAGAGGCCTTGAGGCTTGGCTTTAAGAAAAAAATTCTAGGAGAGAATAGAACTCGGCCCAAGAACCACCAGGCTCAGCAACACCCTGAAGGCAGCATGAGGGTGCAAATGAGCAGGACAGGCAGCTGGCTCTCAAGAGACTTTTTCACAGTGCAGTCACGGTGTCAACTCTTAGCATTTCATGGCACAGAGATGTCTAAAGTGTGTTCTGCTCTAAAGAGCCAGGACTGAAAAGAACTGCCACTTGATGCAGCCAGTTGTGTTAGCTGAAAGTCCAGTGTCCTTGTCCAGAGGAAAGGGTGCTCCATACACATGAAAGCCAGCCACCTGCCATGGTCACCGGCATCCCCACATACCATTTGTACCCACATCAATAGGCACAACAGCAGCACCATGTAGTATCAACACATGCCCAGAACCAAAGCAGATTTTCCAAAATGCAAGTGTTAAGTACCTACATGCCATTCAATTTTGTTTCTCAGTCATTCTACTTGTTTTCTGGTAGCACCTACAGTTGTCCACTAAACCATGATGAAGTATCCACAGGGATCCAAAGTAACCCTGGAGATCTCTGCCTGCTGCTATGGTCCTGTGAAGCCTCCAGCATTCACACTTCTAAAATAAAATAAACCACGTGGGATCTGACACATATACATTTATACAAACAGCCATGTGCGCACAGAAGCCCCATACACTCATGTTATGAAGTAATTAGAGGTTCACAGGGAGCACAGAGAGACTTGTAAACACTGCCCCCAGCTGTGAAACCTGTGTAGCCCACAGCCAAAGCAACAGTAACAAATAACCCTGAAACAACGCATGAGTAAAACTTGAAGTCTCCTTCAGATGTCAGCATTTTCCACATGTGCACCTGTGTGGCTCAGGGCAGTGTGGTCTCCTGCACAGGTCCAAATCATGTCCCTTCACAGAACAGAACTTGCTGACACCTCCTGGGATCTCTCTAGAGAACCATCTGTGTTTGATCCTCAAGAATGTTATGTAAATGGACTTGCAGGCCATCCATTGCAGTTGCTTATGGCTGAGGACTGCTCCACGGCATGACACTGTTAATCAGTCTTGCCCACTGAAAAGTAGTAAGAGTGTTTGTAGGTTTCTGCATGACCACAAACTCCTGTGCCTTGGTCCTGAGCACAGATGGTCCTGAGCACAGCTGCTACGCCAAACAGGAAGGACACCCAGCTTCCAGAGACCTGGCCTTGCTGCTGCCCACCCGGGAGGTCCTGCCTCTCCACATCTAACAGGGCACAAGGTCCCCCTTTGCTCTGACTGGTATATCCTGGTGGCCAAGAAGCTGAGGACTTGCAGGTACCCTCAGGCCAGTCTTCTCACAGTAACACAGTGGTTCATTTACTGCTGAGTTTAGAGCATTCTGGCTTCAGAACATCTTTACCTGTCTATGCTATTCTTTTCATGCTCTTCTCAGCTTTCCCAGGTCAACCTGCCTGCCTGCTTTCCCTCCCTCCCTCCCTCCCTCCCTCTTCCTTCCTTCCTTCCTTCCTTCCTTCCTTCCTTCCTTCCTTCCTTCCTCCCA